GCTAATGGATGAGGGAAACGGCCTCAACATACTCTATGCCAGCACCCTCGATAAGATGGGCATCCCTCGAAACAGCCTGTACCCTAGCAAGGCGCCGTTCTACGGGATTGTGCTAGGGAAGGAAGTCGTGCCCCTTGGATGCATCCGGCTCAACGTCACCTTCGGCCAGCTAGACAACTTCTACAAGGAGCCATTCACCTTCGAGGTCATCGGCTTCCTCGGCATCTACCACGCCCTCCTCGGTCGACTGTGCTTCGCCAAGTTCATGGCCATCCCCAACTACACCTACCTGAAGCTCAAGATGCCGGCCCAAAGGGGGTCATCACCATTGAGGGCAACTTCGAGCAAGCCTACTACTACGAGCAAGACTACGTCGCCCAAGCATCCACACTCGTCACCCCTTGCGCTCTCGACGGCTCAAGCCGCAACACAGAAGGGGCACCGGCGGAGGAAGCAACCAAGGCAGCGGCGGTGCTCGACTGATCGAGCATCGGCGAGGTGCCCAAGGCTTCTAGCGACAATGGTGGCTCAGCTAGCCCCTCCATCCAGGTGCTCAGCCCCTAGAAGGTGCTGGCCTGATCGAGGTGAGTTCCGACCTTTCCCTATGAGGGAAGGCCATCGTCGAGCCATTCACCCAGAAGTGACGCCTCCTGAGCCAAGGCCTGCCTGTCGACCTGCTTTGCCAGCCTACCTCTATAACAACAAAAACCAAGAAAAGTCCCGTCCTCTCGACCCTCTTGCTTTGCTTGCTTTAGTCATTGTCTCCTATAACCTAAGCGACCCTAGCGAAAGCTCGGCTGCACCACAGGATTGACTAAACTAACCATCTACTGACCTTTCTGAAGGAGAACCGCTGTAGAAGGCCCCCGAGCAAGGCAACGATGGGCGGACGGAGCAGAGAGGAGGAGCAAGGCGAAAGATCGGCAAAGGCGCTAATAGAGCCCCCCCACCATAGCGCGCTTACCAACTAATGTCCTCTTTTCCCTCTCTTGTGTCCATTTCGTTTTCTTTGTAGGTATTCATCTATCTACCGATCCTTCATCGGATCGTTCCACCCCACCGCACGCCGGTCTAGGGCCCCCTGCATATGCATCGCGAGGGTTCAAGGCTGGCCCACTAGGCTTTAAGGTCACCCAAAGCAACTAAAAGTGCGAGGACACTCGGAGACGAGCCCCATCTACGATCAGTAGTCGGGTGCCCGTGCGCCTTTGACCGTCTAGGCAGCGATGTCCGAGTATTGACCTAGAGCTGCTCGTGGTGACCCAACGAGGAGGCAAAGAAACCCCGAGTACCGACAAATGGGCTTGGGAACTATACGAGTGGCTCGGCCGGGAAGCCAAGGATCTCCCCTCTGGAATGACCGTAAACCTAGGGTTCTCACGGACTTACCCGTTAGCAGCACGGGCGTGGCGATCTTGGCCAATGAGGCCATCGTTGTAATAGCCCAGCCCAACGAGGGATTAAGTCTCTGAGCACGACTCAAGAGCAAAATGGGATTACAAACGAAAGTAATTTCATTTCATCAATTGGGAATGACCCGATTACAATATACGGTAGCAGAAACCATGATCTACTGCCGCCTATACGGCGACAAAGACCACAGGGCACGCTCGACCTCTGGGTCGGGGCCTTATGGTGTGCATGTCTCGGGCAGCAGGGTCACCCTCGGGGCTCCTCCTCAATGCCTAAGGTCGGGTGATGTCGACCATCGCACTGTCAGTGGGGCCGGCCCTCCTTCGCCGTTGCTGGGACGAAGGGATAGCGACCGACACGCTGCAATCCCCCTCCCCCATTAGAGGGTACAAGGACTCCAGCGACATCATTGGAGCCTTACACCTTCTAGGGAGGGGGGACGTGATAGACGCTTCTAGCGTCGGGTCGCCACCCCCCCTTTGCCGGAGTCATGCCACCCTCAAAGAAGCAGTCGCCCGCCGGACATCACCAAGCTCACTCGGAGGGAAGCATCGCACTTCATCGCCACCGCCATCACCACCGAAGAAGATGGATCTGAGGAAGAAGAAGTGAGGGGCGGAGGAAGGGATTGAAGACACCACATCCCTCGGGGGCTCCCCTTTATAGCCCGGACGATTTGCTGTGAGCGGCCCTGGTCCCTCCGATCAGCCATCAACGGTCAGAAAGGGCCCTAGGGAATCGCTAGGCATCCCTTCAATCCCCGTAGCACGCCTCCAGGCAGTTGCATAATGGCGGTCGCATAGTAAAGGCAGAGTCAGGGAACCGCTGACGATGAGTCAAGTCCCTGCTCCGCTTTCCACCACGCGCGTCGCCCACATGCCTCCTCACGGGACTTGGGGGGAACCAGCTCCCCTGGCCCCACCAACTATCATCAACGGCTTGGATCCACACGCAACAAGTGACATGACTCCTCCTCCACCAGATCTGCTGCACGTGGCCCCGATGTCCAATCTCCCCGACGAGGCGAGACGGCGCGGGGGCTACACGCCATAACTCCTCCACCAGGCATGATGGCCCAGATGCCATCAACCACCTACGCAAGGTGTTAGTGGATGGGACATGCCCAGTAGCCGCCCTTCCGCTGGAAAGGAGACCCCACAATAGCCTCGGGGGCTGCGCCGGCTCCATAGACGGAGCAGCCCGACGCCCCGATCGACGGGCGCTAGGGTGGCGCATCCCCCAAAAATCAACCAACTCCCCGGAGTTAGGTCGGAAGCCGTTGAGTAGTGGGCCCAACAAGGGCCTCCGTCCAAGCCTCAGCGCGCTCCCATCTCCCTGACCTATGGCCATAGAGGGTCGGCCCCAGAAGGCCGGCTCGAGAAGATCAGGACCTGTTACCGCAGCCCCTAGAAGGGCGTGGTGCTCCGGATGATCAGGCGGCCCTGAGCCAAAGCCCAACGCTCTTGATCACCCGGCCCACGGCAGGCTCCGATCAAAAAGGATGGTGCCTCCAGGCCTACAGTCGGCAACTCCCAGACGAGTTCGCCAAGCTCTCGCTCGAGTCGAAGACCCATGCGACATAGGCTCACGAAGGGATCAACACCATCTTCGCTCAGCCCCGATAGCCGAGCAACACCCATCACTTTAGAGAAGAAGGCCCCAAGCAGGGCACAACACTCTCGCCAGCAGAAGACGTCCCCACCAAGGAGGGTTCGATCACTAGATGATTGAATTCAGCCCTTCGTCGCCATCACGCCAGGTAAGGCCACGAAGGGCTCGGGGGCTCCTGATGAGATCATAACATACAGGTATGTTAAGCCTCGGGTCCAATGGTTCCCAAACGAAGAAGACCCCCCGACTGACCCCTTTAGGATCGCTCAGGGGCTCAGGGGCTATGCCCATCGGGCCCGCTCGCGTGCACCCTCTGGCAAAGAGATCCGGCCGAGCCTAACTCGACCGCAGCTTTGGCCTAGGGCTCGGGGGCTTCCCCGAGCCTTGGGCTCCCGATCTATGGCACGACCAAGCCCGGTCCTTGGCTCCTGCCCATCGCACGATGCCAGCCAAGGCCCGAGCACAAGAAGACATGCCTCTAGCTACCGATGCTCGGAGGCTCCACGGCGTTGCTCCCCAGGCGTGGCCCTGCCAACTGCTCCTCCGACAGGGTCACGTCCGGGGCGTGACACAAGAAGACAAAAGCTTCCCACGGCCTTCGGGGGCTCGCGGGCTTCCAGGCCCACGCATCAGCCCCTGGAGCCGACCTCCTCTGACACCAAGAAGACTCCAGAAGGTCTCACCCGGGGGAGGCCGGTCCAAGATAACACCACCTGACATGCAGAGTGTCAGAAGAGAGCAGTCAGACGACGCCTAAGGCTTCTTCGGCTCCAAGACACCGCAACGGTCCTGCGTGATTCTTGTGTTCCTGAGTCCACCCGAGCCATCGGAGACCCGTACTCTAACACCGACTCGAACAACATGCTTGCCGCGGTTTCGACCCCGCGACAGTGTGGCTCCGTCTTCTTCACTGGCCAACGCGCTCCCTCGAGTCCTGGCCCAAGGGCAAGCTTGGGCCTCGCTATGCTGGCCCTTTTTAAGTACAGGAGCGCATTGGGTCGGTGGCCTATCGTCTTTGCTCGCCAGATGGTGTCTGTCTCCATGACATGTTCCACGTGGGGCTGCTCAAGCCCTTTCGAGGTGACCCTCCGACGACTACTTCCCACTCCGGAGCGTGTGCTTCGCACCTAGCTTCACCGGGGCGCTTGGCATGTGCTGGTCCAGTGGCAAGGGCTCCCTTCCGACGACGCTATTTGGGAGCCTCTGCAGGATTTCAAAGACCTCTACCCCGGTGTTCAACTCGAGTACGAGCTGTTTGAAGAGGCGGGGAGAGATGTTATGACGGGCATCTCCTATCAGCGCCGGCCCAGGCCCAGTGGCTAGGCCACACCGACGGCAAGGGGACCAGGCGCCCGTAGATATACCATCTATAGTTATTTTGGCTATTTCCATAATTATAGGGTTTGAGATTGATTTGCTTGTAAGTTCCTTTGAGAATTAATTAAGCAAGGCAAAAGTATTTGCCTTGCCTCAAGGGCCATTACGTGACTCTCTCCAGCCTCCCTGCCCTATCTCTCACGTGAGCCCTAGGGCAAACAGCAGCAGCGCCGCTGCCACCGTCGCCGTCGCTGACCTCCACCACGGCTCCTGGTCGCCGTGTCCCTCGTCCTCGTCCCCTAGTCTCCTATCCCTACGCTCTTCGCAGCCGCGGTAGGATAAGGATCCTATCATGCAAGGCTATGCATGGAACATATTCCGGCATAGTTCAGCATGTCAGGGTCCTCAACACAATCTGTCAAAACACACAGGTTATATTGGCAAGGTTCGAACATTCAGTTCGCCTTTTGATATGCAGCCAAAAGATAACTCCTATAGTCCTATATGACCCGTGTCTGTCACTGTCAGGACCACATTTCTGTCTCGAACGGTAGTCTCAAATGCAGGGCGTGTAGTAGTGGCTATCCTAGTATCCTGCAACCTAGAGGGTGCACTGTAAAGTAGCAGGTAACATACGAGAAAGTTTAGCTCCTGTGGTGTTACAAGTCATGAAGCTTAGGATCATGAGGGCGATGGCCTTCCAGGGGACACGTACACTGCTTCTGCAACTCCAGGTACCTCTCCATATCAAACTTCTGCGCTGCACAAAGCTTTTTCTGCCTTGACAAGAACAGACTCTCCATGAAGTCCCGATACGTCGGATCTCTTGAGGTGATGAGGAAATAGGCGTAGCCGACGAGCAGGCCAGATGCGGTGGTGAAGAAGGCGATCGGCTCCATCACGTCCCACGAGAATTCCCAGAATGTGAGGCGGAAGAGGAGCCCGACTTGGCACATGAAGAACCCTAAGCCAGACCACAGGATGCGCCGCACTTGCTTGTGCGCCAGCTTGTCAATCTCTTCCTTCTTTGCCTGGAGCTGCTCGAACTCTTCTTTTCTCGGGTCATTCTCTGGTGATAGCGCAAGTGGCACAGCCCTTCTAACCAGGTCCACCACCTGAAAATGGTCAATGGTCAATCAATGTAAGATTCAGTCAGAAAGATTACATCATGACTCCTTTTGCTCGTCTTGTACGTAACTAAGAAAAACCTTTGACTCTAAGCAAATTGGCTGGATATTCATTATCTTCTCTGTCAATAATAGTGAAATTGAGACCTTCCTACAGGCAACAGCTGAAAGCAACAGGAAGAAAAAAAATCTCACACTGTGATGCAATCCTTTTCAGATAATTGTCAATGTGCTGTCCACACTTCAAAGGATAAATTAGTACCTTAATTCCAGGTGGATGCTTTGATGCTTAGGTGGAAAGAAAAAATTAACAAGATTCCACTTTTTCCACAGCGCATACTATGGTCTTTGTTCTGATCAGGGTAGGTGAAGAACATACAGTAGTTGTGGAGGACCGGAAGGTACCAAATCAAAGAACATGTGATCTAATGTTAATCTGTACATGGCTCCAATTCCACGTGCAATGCTTTACAGCTAACTGCATCCTCACGTGACTGAGGATTCCTAACTGCATCCTCACGTTACTAAGCATTCCATTTCCATGTGTGCATCTTGACTATTTTCCCAATATTATGTTTTCCTCAGCCATCTGGTAACTGAACTTAAAAAATGAGGATTTTCGTCAGTTGTTAGTCTCCAATAATATAGGAAGACTGAAACAGGGCATTACTTTGGGAATTTGATGTGGTTTTGTTTTTAAGAAAGAGTGATTTGTATGAAACGAGTTCCGATTTTAACTGATTAGCAAGGATGTAGACCCAATTTGAAACAAGATAGCAAAAAGGGTTCACCCGAATCGGAATCCGGAATAAACCGTTACGAGAGCAGCAAGCAGTTTCGAATTCGATACGAGGAGACTGCAGACGAAGAACCTATGACGATACAGTGACAAAGTGATGTAACGCTCAAGAAGTGCGACCTTCTCGGGGTGGAGGTAGGCCTTGTCGCGGAAGAGCAGGACGACGCCGGCGTGGTCCAGGGCCCGCGCGAGCGCCTCGGCCTCGGCGTGCGTGCGCGCGGCGCCGGCCTCGACGCAGGCGTCGAGGAGCTGGCCGTACCCGACCACCTCGTCCCGGCCGTCCCGCAGGCGCCGCTTCAGCGCCTCGACGCCGACGAGGCGCACCAGGCCCCGCGCCTCGGCCGAAGTGACCTCCGGCTCGGGCTCCGCCTGCGCCGGGCGCGGCGGCGGCGGGGAGAAGGGGCGCGCGTGGAGGAAGAGAGCGGCAGTGGCGGTGGCGGCGGAGGGAGGGGACGGGGACGGCCAGCGGCGGGTGAGGAGGAGGCGTGCGGCGGCTGCGCGCCACATGGACATGGTGGTGGAGGAGGACCGGCGGCAGTGGGATGGCGGTGAGCCGGTGAGGCCTTGCTTTGCTTAGCAGTTACTCCTAGCAAACAGTTTCTCCCTGCTGTTCGCTTGCTATTTATACGATCGTGGATTATAAATTAAAATAATATTTTTTTCTCATGTTAAATCAGTCAACAATAAATAATCCATGCCGAACAGGCTTTGCTCAAGTTTGAAGCCAGGTAAAGAAAAAACACCTTGAGCTAGATCTACCCTTTTCAACCTTTCATCTTTATAAGTCCAATCTTAAAAAAATATTTTGTTATTTCCTCCGTCACATAAAGATATTACTCTAGCTTCATTTTAAATTTGATCAGCAAATAGCTACATCATGAAACTATCTTCCCTGATGAATCTATGTCACTTATTTTATATATAATAATATAGATATTAATATTTTTATATAGATTTTGTCACATTTTGAAATTTAAGATAGTTTTTTGACCGATGACAAATCTAGAATGCTATCCTTCTAAATGTTTCATTTTGATGAATGAAACGGCTCTCTAGTGAATAATTTCATTTTGATGTTTCATATAGTGGCCATAGAATTTAATTGTGATGCATGAATTAAGGCCATTTTGATGCAATGAGCCTCATATTACAAAGTCTTAGAAGTTAGAACAATGTATACCCATATTTTATTTGGTTGAAACCCTATGTTTTTCCTCATAACTCTAATGTCATGTCATGAAATTTGTCAGCACCTTATCTATTGGTAATAAAACTAGCATTGGGGGTACGTGTGAGTGTCGTTTATGTGAAGTGGTTTTGACGAAATTGGTTATAAAACTGCATATGGTTTTTGGGTCCGTTTTTCCTTATAAACTGGGTCAATTTTATTCTTCTTAATTGAAAGACAGAGCTCTTGCCATTACGTTCAATAAATATCAGTTAGTGACCTCAGCTGTGTAGGATATAAGAACTTTAAAATTATCCTCTATACCTATTGTAATCACATGTCAATCAAGTATTGGTTCCTTCTAAGGAAGACTTGTATCTCCTTTGAGGAAGCCGTGATTGATCAAAAGGTCAAGCTCGATCAAACTGCTTTTTCTTTCAACTGCTTTCCTCGTTTCACTATTAAACTTCTTCCCCTGTGGAGACAGAGTCGAGGCTTTCACAAATTTTCAAGTGGTTCACCATAAGCACAGATTCTCACCGGGCAACATCTAGACATTTAGGGTCCGTTTGGTTCTTGCCGTGGGATGCCGCGCCTCAGCTGCGGCCGCGCTGTAATTGCGGCGTCGAATTCGGCCGCCGCAACTGCGACAGATTGTGGCCTCGCAAATGAACTGCGGGAGTGGGTTGCGGCCGCGGCATGCCGCAACTACAGCAAATTACGGAAGCGAACCAAACGCTTGCCTCGTCTACGGCGCAAAAAGTGCGGCAGGGTGTGGCGTAGTTTGGTAACCAACCAAACACTCCCTTAATTTGGAACATAAAGAGCACTAAAGAGAAGTCCTATTCATGTTGCTATGTTTAAAACGTGTTCATTATCTTACGAAAAATGATGCGTGTTATGCAGTTGCAAGCATGTTTCCATCGGTGAATCCACCAGTAAGGGCTTTTGTTTAGATGTTCATGTATCCACCTCAAATCCACGTATTTTGGAGTAGATTGGTGTGGAATTTACCATTCAACATGCATGGATCGAGGTGTTCAAATTCTACACCAATCTACCCCCAACACACATGGAGTGAGATGGAATGCTCATCACACATGGATTGAGGTTGTCAAAGAAAAAAATAAGTCATTTTTAGAAATAAAAATAAGTCCTTATTACACGAGACGAACTCTTCCCACCGTATTTTCACAGCTTTGTAAATTGTAAGGGCTTTTCCGCAGCAGCGACCAGTGGACGGCCCACGGGCTCGCATTCCAAGTGGGCTGCTGGGTTATCAATGTAGAAATCAGGCCTGCTACAGGCCCAGGCAAACAGCCCCACTGGGCTCTCTCTCTCGTTCCCTCCTCTCCCATTCTCGCTGCGACGACTGGGCGCCCCGCCGCCGCCGCCCTACGCCAGGTTCTCCCAAGGTCATCACCGGCGACGAGCACCCACCAGGTACCCCACTCACCCCTTCTATTCCCTTCCTGCTGTGCGAAACCGAGCGCCCAAGCCCTAACTGAAGCTACTTTATGTACGTGTATTCGCATCTGATTCTAATCACAAGTGTAGGTCGTACCCTCGCGCAGCAGTAGATATTCCTGCATTTTAGAAATCCACAAGTTTGTATGGTCGGTTCGGCCCTTTTCTTCTTCCTGCCCTTTTGATTGTTCAAGCAGCTGCACCAACAGTTCTAACCGTTTTTGTTGTTAGTCCACACCAAGTCACCAACCAATGTAGTTGTTGCTTCTGCGATTGATACTTCACTGTCAATTTGTAAAGGTTGGAGTTGTGTACTGCAATGCGATATATTGTATACATTTAGTCGTAGCTTGGAGTTTTCGAAATCCGACTCTCACCGCCCCCCCCCCCACCCCGACTTACTAAAAGCTTGCAATCCTGTGCAGTAGTTTGAACTAATTGTACCACATCTTAATAATAGTTTCAGCATTTGCGTTGGAACCATAAATTGTGCTGTGCTTCTGTCTCCTGTTTCTTTAAACAGTTTTTTATATGCTTCCGCTTGCTTTGATAGCGCAATCAACCATTTTTTTTTATTTGTAGTTCAGGGTCCAGATGTTAGTCGCAGAGGTGCTTAGAGTTGGAGCTTACATCTCTAGGTTTTCTCGACATGCATGCTAAGTATATAATCTAGCGTTTTACATGTGACATGCTTTTGTGTTGTATAGCAGAATACATATTCTTGCCTTAACTGAGGTTGTGGACTGTACTTTGTTGAACAAGCTGTGGCCTGTGGTACAAACTTACTGCATACTTGTTCTGTTGATACTTCTGTACTTTTTTTTTCTAAAAATAGTTAGTAGAGTTTTAGAAAACGGTTATGCATACAGTTGCCTCTATTAAATCTGGGAAAATACCGGGGCCTTTGTAGGTTAATTTATCTGCATACAGTTGCTTGTACTGTTGAACAATGAGAAATCTTGGGTCCTTTGCTGTTTCGATTCTGATTACATTTCTGTGCAATTTGTTTTTTGATGTTTAATCAAATTGCTAGCTTATATAATGCTCCCTCAAATTCAGGCTGTAAGATTTTCCAGCATTGGTTATTCACGCACTTCTTGATTTAGAAAACCTCAAGTTCTGGACCTGATCAGCAAAACAAGTTCTTACCACTTTAGTCAGTCCAGACTCATGGCAATGGCTGCAGGTCCAGCCAATGGTGATTCAGAGAGTGGTCCTCAGAGGAACTATCAGGTTGTTGTGGCTGCCACTCAGGACATGGGCATTGGGAAGGATGGGGTTTTGCCATGGAAACTTGCTGGCGATCTTAAATTCTTCAAACAGCTTACACTAACTACATCTGACCCTGCCAAGAAGAATGCAGTTATAATGGGAAGGAAAACATGGGAGAGCATTCCAGTTAAGTCAAGGCCATTGCCTGGTCGTTTGAACGTCATACTTACTCGATCTGGTAGTTTTGATTTTGCAACAGCAGAGAATGTTGTTATCTGTGGAAGTATGAAGTCTGCCTTAGAACTGCTAGCATCTACTCCGTATTGCTTATCGATTGAGAAAGTTTTTGTCATAGGAGGTGGGCAGGTACTGAGGTGAGTTCTTATCTTTTGAAACAAAATATTGTACTTGCACTCTGTTGTCGTGGTAACTGTGTTGCAATTCCATTCACCCTTCGGCAATGTTTTTTACCATTTTATGTAGGGAAAATCTTAAAGGACCTGCATGTGAGGCCATCCATCTAACTGACATTCAGTCGAGCATTGAGTGTGACATTTTCATCCCTCCAATTGACTTCTCGGTGTTTCAGCCATGGTATTCATCTTTCCCTGTGGTAGAGAGCGATATCAGGCATTCTTTTGTGACTTTTGTTCGTGTTAGAAAATCGGTGGTAGAAACCCATGATTCAAATGGCAAGGAATCAACTGAGGTTAATACCAAGAATGACAAGTTTGAAACAGAGAATTTCTCTTTTCTCCCCAAGATGATATTTGACTGCCATGAGGAGTATCACTATCTCAATCTTGTTGAAGACATTATAAGGTATGGTGCTCAGAAAAATGACAGGACAGGAACTGGAACATTGTCAAAATTTGGGTGTCAGGTATTTCTCCTTAACTTTGAATATTCATTTTTATCAACCAGTAAAATAATTTCTTTTCATTTTCTTATTAGATGCGGTTCAACTTAAGGAAAATTTTCCCTTTGCTGACAACAAAGGTATGCAAATATCTTGTATTTTCAGATCTAGCCCTGAGTCAGCATTTGCAAATAGAAATGTGCAAAAACTTCTTTAGTTTTTAATGATTTGTGAGAAGAAACACAGGCAAATCAGTGTGTAACTGTGTATAAAATTGTGTTTCTTTAATGCTTTGTGCTTGTTACTTTTGGAATGTGTGTTTATCAAGTTTGGACTGTGCCTTTTTTATTTTTCTGTTGTTTACAATTATTGGCAATCAACTTGATGCTGGTTTAGTTTTCTTCTTTTATGATCCCCACATACGTTCCAAGATTTTGACTGAGGTTCTGAATTGTCATTTTTATTGAACCATCTGCTATAGTTTAATTATTGTAACACCCCAGGTGTTTGTCACCAATTAAGCAATGGGTTTAAACTCAAACATGACATGTTAAGTGGTGATGAAAGTTTCAAGATCAAATCTACAAAATGAGCGACCACTTAAACTTGGACCATGCACCATTGCTTACATGTTGCCCTTTCCAAAAAGTATGCTTGAGTAATGTTGGATCTACTGCTTTCATGTGCCCCACATCAATTTCCACCCACATGGATGATTGAAAAAGTTTCGTGAAGTTTGGAATCAAAAAGTTACATGGAATGATAAGTTATAATCTTTCTTGGATTGCTTTATTAAGTGAATGGAAT